GGTAAAACAATTCAAGTTCAAATTTTCTTGTGCGTTGTACGGTTGGGGGTTGCAGGATAGATCGTAGGATGCGTTCAAAATTAATTTCCCTTTTACAAATAGGTTTACAAACTTTGTCTCCTGTCTCCACAACATATGAAGGACCCTGATCACCACCATAAATCCTTGGATAATATAAAGGGCAAGCGATATTTTACCTTCTTTGGCTGGTGGATAATACTTGGACGCTCCCCCGTTAAATAACAGTTGGTTAATAAAAACAAACGAAATAGGTGACCGGTTTTTAAGTAGTCAACTGTATTTTGTTGTGGCTGAAAGGTCACTGAAAATTAACCATGAAGAATAACACAAGGACAACACAAAGCAAGTGTGGGATTTAGAAAAAACACTGCATGTTTTGCATTTCCTATCAGGGATTTTCTCACCAAACTTTTTTGGAAAGAAAATTATGTGACTGTTGCTGTCAAATAGCACTGAAAAGGTGATGGTCTAAAAGTTGAGATAAGTATATTATACTGTGCTGACAATTCCACAATGCTCCTGAATTAACGACGTTCTATTTTTCTAGCATTTCCAAGCAATCATCGTCATCATTTTTATCATCACCCCGCTCAGGCAAATATGAGTCACTTAGAACCTAGGATAACCGAAATTACACCCAGCTCAGGTGAGTACTCTTTTAAAGCTCACTTTCACGCTTTAATTCGTACCATTGACTAGCACACCAAGTTCGCAGCAACGAGAGGCCTGGTGGTATGTTGTGCAAATATTCCCGAGCCCAACTCCCGCTCCCACTCTCACAAGCTGGTTTTCACATTGTCTCAATTAGCGTTATATAGGCTGTGTTACAGTCGTTTCTTCTCCGAACCACGTACGGCACGCGAAACCATGGGGAACACTTTTTCTTCTCTTCCTCAATTGCACGCTTAAGGAAATCACTGCTAAGCAGTTCAAATGTCGAGGGTCATTGTTAATTCCAAACTGCGTTCCAGTAGCGTTTCCAAAACCCATTGATTGATAGATTATTGTAGCGCAGTTTCACGAGAATTCCATTCCATTTTCACCACTTCCATTCACAGAATCCTTGAAAAGATGCAATTCGTTCTCAGAAGAGGTCGAGGACGGGAACCCAAGCCCTAAAAGGACTGCCCTATCTCCAGATCTTGACGTGAAGAGGGAGCCGCGTGAACATGGAGGGGAAAGACCTGCCATGACAAGCCCTGTTAGCTCTCCACAAGCGAGAAAAACACCAGATCAAGAGAGCGTCAATTCAAACGGAAAGTATCTTCAAGAAAGCCTATATGATAGACCACACGAGTATCAATATCCCTGGCTATCAAAGGAATTAAGCGCTCTATCACTCAGGCACCCTCCAATGGAGCTCCTCAGTAAACTCTTCCCGCACCACAACATGACCACACTAGAACATATCCTGCAAAGTTGCCATGGTAGCGTGGTGGAGTCCATAGAAATGCTGCTGTCTACTCAGGAGTCTAGGGGAAGTAAGGTGAGGGCGTTGGGAGGCTTCGGATTTTCAGCGGTCAGTCATGCCTCTCCATTCCTTCATGGTCCTATGACTCGCAACGTCATCACAAGACCGTTAACCAGCACTCATGCATGTTCCCCAACGCGGCTTTACCCAGCATCACCACTTCCGCCACCACTTCTAGTGAAGCCCAAACCGGAAATGGCGTTTAAGTTTTCTCCTATTGCTCATGCCCCATACAATACCGAGTCGAGGGCTTGTGGACTTGCCATGACCCGTTTCTGTAGCAGATGTGGACACAAAATAACCGTTTTTGATAAGTTTTGCGCCCACTGCGGCAAGGTTCTTAGTGAATCGGCTAATGGTCTATAATTCCGTCAATAGTGAGTTTACGTAACAGGACGGCGGGAAGAAGAGGACGGCAAAACGCTTGTATGTGACAAACATGACAGGGCTATTACTTGCGTGTTTTTTCGCGATCATCACTTAATACCAATGTTTTCTGGTCCTTTACAAAAAGATCTGTTTAAAGGAAAGTGAAGTTGTTTCAAACAAAATTATTGTCATGCTTGTCACACAAGGTTTGCCGTCTTCTTTCCTCTCCCGTCCTGTTGCGTAAGTTCATTAATGTAAATGGTCATGTGGATAAAGATGTTAAATTCTTGAAAATGCAAGGGGGATTCTTGTAAAATAACTCCTAACTTGGGCTTAAACGAAGCCGACTGTTACAATTAATTCATGGACATAGTCCTTTGAAACTGTATGTAGTATATGTATTTATATTCTTCTTCAGGCATCCATTTGGTAGTTTTATTGAGGAACTGATCATTAAAGGGAAACCAAATTAAATAGATTTAATGAAAAAGACTAAGATGTATACATGTTGAAATAATTTCTTTTCACTATATAATACTTGCGATTCATAAAAACTATGTTACAAAACTTCAACCGGAATGTAATTCAGTTAACTGTCACGCAATTAGAAAAGTGTGATTACAACTATGAAAGAAAAAAATAAACTTGCTGAGTGCGCTGTTGGGCTAAATAAGCGTGAGAGAGGATATGAGAGAAATGAGGAAGAAGGCGTGCTCCTTTAATGAGAGCTTCTCTCCGCACCTTTGTTAAGTTTTATGGGCTTGTGTCTTGGGAGTCACTCCTGAAAATTCGGGTAGGGCTCTGTGACAAACTTGCGGAGACCTTACCCTATTTCAGACCGCTCCTCTTAACAGAAAAATGATTAAAAAGCGTGCGTATTCTAAACATATGGTGTTTTTTAACTACAGGCTGTACCAAATAAAAGAACAACGCACCTAAAATAGACAGTAAAAACTAGAAAGGAAGCAATACTTACAGATTCCGATATGTTGCTATTTTTATCCGTGAAAGAATGTCTGATGTATAAATAAGAAATTTCGAACTTCTGTTGATAGTCTAATCTACAATCATTGATATTATCTAGTTATTTATTCTTTCATCTATACGGTACACACGGTGTAGGTTACTTCAGAATATCCGATCTAATCAGCGTAAAGAAAAAATAGTAAAGCAAAGACTTGCAATACAACGTAGAAGATACAATAAAGTTGTTGTCTGGTAATGATAAAAAATATTCGGCTACTAATTAATACCAACCCCGTGAGTTGTTGTTACCGAACAACACTATTGCACGTGCTTATAAAATATCAAAAGACTATGCATATACCATACAATTTTCCATCACAGGTAATGCATTTAAGTTTTGACGTTTTAAAATTAATTTCATCGTGTGCCCCTTAAGACCACAAAGTTTTTTAGTATTTCGCAACTTTTTCTAACAAGCATGTGCACGTTATCCCACCATGTTTTAAAAGTTTCGCAACGTTTTATAAATGTACTTAACACATACCTGTTTGTGAAAAACATTAATTATAAAATGTCGAAAGTAGCGAAATGTAAATATAATAGGTAATATACCACCAAAGGCAATGCACTTATGTGTCGACGTTTTAATTAATCCGTCATAATGCCCCTTATGAACAATAAGGTTTTCAGTATTTCGCAACTTTTCTTTACAAGCATGTGAGTATGTTACCATTAGACCACCATGTTTTTAAAGTTTCGCAATATTTTCCAAATGCACTTTACAAGAACATGCTTATTTGTGAAACAAAATTAACTATACTAGAAAGGGGACATGTAGTTAATTTAGCAAAACCTGTTTTCATTCAAGGTACCGCAGGAACCCGACAATTAATCATCCATCATGAAAATCGATTGACACGCTCATCCGTATATTGAAACGCTACATATACATTGACATGTAAGAGTTCCTGAAAAACGTGGCATCCAGAGATCAAAATGAGACATTCTTAGGGCATCGAATGAAGTACATAACCCCTTTTGAGTCAAGAAGGTTTACTGTCGAGCCATTCCCACCGGGCTAAAAATTAAAAGCAAAGAAAAATAAAGAGAGAGGGAGTGGGGAGAGGGAGAGAGAGAGACCCTAATAGTGATCCAAGGCGCGATGAAGGCTATCCAGTTTTTTAAATCTTTATAGTAAAAGAGTACTAAAAATCTCGTTTCGCGTGTATTTCTCAAATATACTTCATGACTATGTTCAAGAGTAGCAAGTTGAACTTTAAAATTCGTAACTGACAAAACTAACAGAGGACAGAAAAAACCTAACAGGAAAGGGATAAAATCGTAAACATATTCTGGATTAGGCAAAGACTGGACAGTGAGACAGGTTTTCGATTCTATGCCAGACAAAACTTTGTTGAACGTGTAGTAACTCACTACAACTAACTCACAAATAGCTCTCTCAACGGTTTACTTCGATAAACCTGTTAAATCCTATTCCAACTAGTTTGTAAAGACAGCCGAATTCAGCGAATTCTCAGCACGCATCATAAGACTTGAATCCAGAAATTTGCCTTCTTAAATGTACTACGCCCAAGCCCGCTCCTCTGTTTGGATAATCACATAAAGCCTCATGTGTTTTATTCCTGTTGCTGGCTTAAAATTTACTACTAAGCTTTGATTTCCAAACAGAAAACGTCGGTAACTTCACGTTACTATTGAGCGCGGTGTATTCGCTTCAACTTTTCTTTTTCGAAAACACATTAATGAGACGGTTGCGCACGTTTTGTTGAATTTTGAAAGCGAAATATGGGAGTGAAAATGTTATTGTAATCTTCCCAAACGTCTTCAGAGGCACATCCGAAAAAAATCGTGTATAAAATGTAAACGGGTCCAATCCCGAAATGTTTCAGACTAATCTGGGCATTACCAGCTTAGTAATTCAGACTATTTCTCAATTAAGCATAGCCCACATCGCTGCAATAAAATAAATGCTTCGCACATGTGACACAGTCACACTAGATCCCCTTCCTTGTTTTTCGAAGCTCTAACCACCACGTGACTGGGGGTCAGTCTTGCATTTGCCTACTCATTGTTTGAAATACTCAATTACTTGACGCGTGCAACAGTTCACGAGTTGTTTATCTTAAAAGTAGAAGAGATTCTTTAAGAAGAAATGAGCATTTTGGTAACAGCGATTAGATCAGGCAATTTAGAGGTGGTGAAGGAAAAATTCGCCAGACCAGTAAGTTTTATGACCATGCATTTTAAATCACTTTGTTGTCTATCTTCAGGATTTAAGCAGCGGTAACGTTATTTCGAATGGCGGATTTTATTGTTACTGAGTTAAACATTTATACTTCTTTTCCTGTCTATAACAAATCAATTGGTTTTGATAAAGACAATACTATTATCAGTTAAAACACAAGGTGTATTCAAGAATATGTGAAGTAATCTTGAGACGACGATTGCTTTTTTGATTGCGCTGTGTATACAATAAATCAAATCTTTGGGCGTTGCATGTTAAAATCCTTGGTTACCAACTAAATATCTAAAAAAAAAACTGCCGTGACGCGATTTAGACTTTTTTTCTCTATGCTTAGGGTAGCCAGGTAAACACACCCATTCAACATGGACGCAGCCCCCTTCACATTGCTATACAGGCTGGCAAGATGGACGTGATGAAATATCTTGTAGCCAAAGGCGCGGACGTAAACGTAAGTTGTTTACTAGAGTTCATTTGCAAAGCTTTAGAAACAGTAAACGCAACAGCGACCACTTATGGTTCTGTCTAAACAGCAATGATCTTAGTGTCGTGCCTTTGATAGGGGGATTAATTCGGCGATAATTGATAAGAAGTTACCCCGCCGAGAACTTTGAACAGTATTTTGAAGTAAAAGAAAACACAAATTGACGGAAAAAATGAAACTTTTGATCTTGTAAATAGGGCAATTATTTTGTCAACATGACTCTAAACAGACAAAATTTCTTAAAGGCAATTTCTTATTCAAATGCACTGTTAACTACGGCAGGAGCCATAGATTCAAATTGGTTCCTATCAGTTCACGTTAGCTTTCAAAGGAACATTTAACGACTTACAATCTATGTCTATCACCGACGATCAGTGATTAATTAATTATAGATGTCACTAAAGTGAAATATGTTACCTAATTACTGATGCATTAACTTGGATGGATGAAACATATAGCGTCACTGACGGATGAAATCCTTACTACATTTCTGTCAAACATTTTTTTTCACCTAGGCTCTTTTAAAAACATATTGTATTTCTTGGAGATTCCTGGGATAAACAGGACCTAACTCCTTACTTTTCAGCATCAAAATAAATAATGCATTTATTATGAGACTTTGCTAAAATCACGTTATCAACTAATAAACCAAGCGGGACACTTGGATACCTTCCCGTAGTAACGTTCGTTTAGAGAAAGCTATTGGGTCAGCTATTTCTCTATGAACCATACAATGATAGAATGCTAACAAATCTTTCAACTATGCCATGATACTAAAAAGAGGCACAGTACTTTCAAAGCATATTTTAAATGACGTTTAGTAGTTACAGCAGTGAGCTCTCTTTGCTAAGTCTAACACTCTAGGAGAGTTGGACCCTAAAGTTAGAAATAAAGGAATGAAACTCAGCTGAGATCATCCGTTCGCCTTAGGGTGGTGAATGCTGTATGAAGAGTCTTGGTACAAAAAGACACCACACAAATGAGTCTTAGAGGGCACCGCGTGACTTTGATGTTCGCTTTATTACAGAAAGATTAATTATAGACAAACCCCTGACCAGATAAAACTCGGCTCACACTAGAAAACCAATGATGTCTACCTAAGAGGGCTTAAGACAAGAGAGAGGGTCCCCAATAGCTTTCTTCAATCCCGTAATCCCGACCCAAAATTTCGGGCACTCCCGTAACCCCGAGGGTCATTTTTGGTATTCCACCTCCCGCGCATTCGTTCAATCTCAAATCCCGCTTTTCAAGTAAGGACAATCCCAAATCCCGAGCTTCAAATAAGGGAAATCCCGGATCCCGAAAAAACTATCGGGGACACTCAAGAGAGAGTGAACCACTGATGTTACCTTAGAGCGGTGTTCACTCCACAGAGCTTAGACATAGGCAAACAAACGAAACTCAGCGGAGGCTAAAGGGATTTTCGTATGACCTTGAAATGGAAACGCGCGAACAAAACAAAAACAACAAATGAACTGAAATAGAGCGATTTGATTGGTTTATCCAACAAATACAAACGCGCGTGGTTCGGGTGAAAAAACTTCATGCCCGAGAACTTTCTAAAAGTAAATCGATATTTCGCTTTGACGTCATACTGCAACATAACTGGCCAATCGAACAATGGCCTGTCCATATTAGGGTTTTGGCGGGAAAACGAAGAGTCCATGTTTTGATCTTTTCATCCATTGGCTGATAAAACAAATAACGAACGATTACCGAAACCATGTTTCAAGGTCATACGAAAATCGCTCTGTCCAACCGCGGATATTGGCCCTAGAAAGGTGTCCGTCTAATAGACAGCGTCTGACACGTGACAGTAGGAATAATAATACGTCGACATTTAATTAAGATCCTTCTCAATATATGCGGGATTAGCTTGAAATGAGGCGATGCTTCTGTTTGCTATTGGGTGAATTTAAAGGTCAATATTCTCATTGACAATAAAGCTTTAATTATTTTGCAGCTATCTGACGAAGATGACTGCTCACCTCTATATTACGCAGTGCTGGACAATAACGAAGAGGTTGTTCAATATTTGCTTCAAATGGTGAGTTTGCAATAACTGTAATGAGGAGGAACCCTAAATAGGGGAAATCAAGTTTTATTTTGATGCTCAAGAACTACAGATGTCTAGGGCGCGTGGTGGGTGCTTCCAAGATATAAAAATCTTATTTAAGCTATGTGTTCCGAACAGTTACCGTTAGCCGCGGCAACAAATATTAAGGTTTATTTCCCGATTCGTCGGCTCAAAACTGTTAAAAATACTCGCGCGGATAAAACCTGAATTTTGACATATTTTACTTCTCAGGGCGCAGACCCTGATGGTGAAGATCCGGATGGCAATAAATTTATGAACATCACCAGCAACGAGAAGATAAAAAGCATGTTGAAGAACGTTTAGAGTTTCATGAGGGATATTCGCAATAGAGCAACTTGTAAACAAAAACTGAACTGTTCGCACCTTGTGACATTAGGTCTTAACGTCATGAAGGTCTAGAAAATCGTGATGTCTTCTGTAACAGTTGGTAGATAAACTTATACTGTTACGCTACGATGTAACAAAGTTATTTAAAAAAACCATTATGTATTTCATAGCAGTGGGTTTTTAATTAAAACAGAGCAGCTGGTAAACAGTAACAGCATATACAGCATAGTTTCTTGAAGGCATATATAAAAATCATTTAATTCTAAGCTATGATTTCTTTATTAAAAATACATGTATACGATAACTGGAAGAAAGAAACAGTTTTCCCTTGTATAGCGTAGCCGTTATTTTTGTGAAGGGCTTCCAAACGAATGGTCAGGCGTAAGGATTTCATCCTACCCGACGCAAACGTTAAAGCCAACTTATACGGAAAAACTAACAGCACTGCACCAACGCGCAATTTAGTGGACTTAGATTTATATCCGAGACCACGAACTACGAACCACCTTAAAGAGCCCTATAGAAAGTTTGTAAATCTAGTCCTTGATATGTGCACAAAGGATCAAAGTGTCCTCCTTACAAAGATGTCCACCATATGGATGTAACGGCGAGTGCATGAAGTTTGGTGTCTTTGGGACAAAATTAACTGTCCCTTATAAAGAATTTTGAAACTTCTCAATTTGAGCACAAAGGGATATTAAGTCTCTTCGTTACTGTTTGAGAGATGTCCGTCATATGGATATAGGGAATACATGAAGTTTGGTATCTGTAGGTCCAAAAGAACTGTCCCTAATAGAGAGGTGTCCGTATTGCGCTGAAGCTGTCCATAAGGAGCAATTCAACAGTATTGCTCTCAGTTGAATAAGCAAACCTCTCTGGAGCACACAACAATTTACCCAGCCTTTCGCGGATGGGTTAAGAGTAATAAGTAAGTATGACTGAACAAATGAAGTTTGGTTTGCGTTGGTAACTAGTAGAGGGGTTGAGCAACAGTTTCCATTAGTAGCGTAGCCATTATTTTTCCGAAGAGCTTCCAAACGAATGGTCAGGTATAAGGATTTCATCCACCCGACGCAAACGTTAAAACCAACTTTTACGGAAAAGTAAACAGCACTGTAAGAACGCGTGATTCCGGCATTGGTTGTAAATTTAAGACCACGGACCACCTATGGAGCCTTAAGAAGATTTTCTACATACAGTCTAAACTTCTCAATGTGAACACAAAGGGATATAAAGTGTCCTCATTATAGAGATGTCCGTCATATGGACGAAGGGAGTGCATGAAGTTTGGTGTCTTTGGGACCAAAAGAACAGTCCATCAGTATGGAAGATGTGTCCGTATTCTGATGGAACTGTCGACATGGAGAGGTTCAACAGTATTGCTTTCAGCTGAATAGGTAGACCTCTGTCAAGCACCGAACAATTTACACAAGCTTTCGTGATGTGGTTTGGTTGATAAGTATGACTGCACCAAAGGGGTTTGGTTTGCTGTAAGGGCATTAGATATAGCACCACCGTCGAGTTGTCATCTACGTTTATTCCGGTTCCCTAGTTATATGGTCTTTTCAGCCACAATATGAATAAAATTACCGAATATAAATACAGAAATAGGATAAAAATTATCTACATATTATGAGATAAATTGAACAAAAATATTAAATATAACAACTGGGAAATGTACTAAATATTGACAGAAGAGATAACACACACAAAATACCAACTAAAACTAAAAAAAAAAAAAAACATACTAGCTCAACAACAACGTACCAGTGTTTGCTAACACTTACTTGTTTCTCATGGTACTTGTTTAGATAAGTTGCTGCGAGCCTCTTCAGTTCCTGTCCCCGTAATCTGGAGTGACCATGGCTGCAATATTCAGAAGTTAAAGGATTATCAAATATATCTTTTTTTTGTTTATTCCCCCACCTTAATCTTGGTTTGCATCCACGTGACAAGGCGGCCATGTTGTTTATCAATACAATAGAATCTTTTCTAGAAGAATTTACATGAAAGTGGAGTTCAGTTCCCAGAGTAGGAGAGAGAACCTGGGAGCGAGGTTGAGAAACGGATTTGTTCTTGACCACAACATGGCCACGCCCATGGCCCCTAATAATGTATAAACCAGCAATATTGTCGAGAAACTTGGCACTTGTTGATTAGGCTTCGGTTTTTCTCCGCTTTTTATCCATGAGCTGATAGAAAGTGACATTTCAAGCGAGTCGGAGTGTGGGATTTGCTTCCTACATGTATTAGTATCACCACTATAGCAGACATATATATCACGAGCACATGTATCCCAACTATTCATAAACCTTGATACGTTCCCTCGGTCTATCGCATACGTTTTGTATGGTTAGGAGAGAAATGTGGATAACACCAGCGCCGCTTAGCCTTTTAGGGGACAAGAAATGACTCATGAATAACTTATTGAAGCCCTAATATGACCAATTTTTAAAAAAGGTACACTTTTGACTGGACTGGTGAAATGAACTGTTACAAGATAAGTTGACCCGGTGATTTATATATGTTGTAGTTAATTTTTTCATCTCAGGAAATTTTATTTTTCCTTTGTTTAAACTTTATTAGCATAGATTAACATACCCAAAAACAAAGGAAACGTGAGATACGTGAGATAAAAAAATATCTACCACATATATAAACGATGCATCTATCGAAACAAATGCTGCACTAAAATCAGGGACGCCAATTTTTCACTCTTTTTTATTCCCCTTACGAAGCAAGAAAAGAATTACAGAGCTCAAACATAAAAGCAGGTCGTGGTGTTTGATGCATACCCTTACGGATCAAGGGAACGAAGAGATGGTTAAATAAAGGGAAAGGCAATAAAATTAAGCTATGAACCAAAAGGAATAAGCAAGAATGGCCAGTTAATGAAGGTCTAGTTTACAGTAAGTCCTGTACAACAGTGTGGAGGCGTGTGTGGCCGAGCGGTTAACACTTCGAACTCTGGAACTGGAGGTCCGGGGTTTTAAAAGCCTGCTCGTCGCGTTGTTCCCTTAGACAAGGAACTTTACTCTTCTTTGTCTCTCTTCACCCAAGCGTATAAAGAGGTACCTGCGACATACTGCTGGGGGCAACCCTGCGATCGACTAGTATGCCGTTTAGGGGGGAGTAGCAATACTCCTAGCCTTGCTTCATACTACGGAAACCAGAAATAAACTCCGGTCGTGTTGGCCTTTGGCCCGTATGAGCCTTTACCTACCTTACCTTTACCCGTACAACACAGGATTGACTGCCATCATAACACCTTATCCCGGCTTCAGATTTTAAAATGTTCTCCCGTATATCGACTGAGAAAATGACGAGTTCATTGTTATCACGTCCGCCGTTTACACAGTATGTTAAGGTATGTAATCATATTATAACCATATGGCGCTGTCGTCATCACTATTATCATATTCAAGTTGATTTCGATTATCCTTCTACAAACACCCTCCACGTTTTAGTGTAAGTTATCCTTCACGGGGTATTTCAGTTCCTCAATAATTAATAACCTTTTAATTTTCTTAACCGGTATACATACATTTTCTCTCGAATTCTCTCCTCTAACGAAATGACATTTATATGAAAATTTTGAAATTCTGAAGAAAACCTTGTTGGTCATGTGCACAGTTTGGAGCCATAAATGGCCCCCGATAAAATTACCCTCTCCTAGATCAGAGGAAGATCAAATAGACGATTTGGGGTTTTATACCTTTCACTCCCAGAGCAAGACCTGAAAACGTATTTATGTAGTTCTAACTTTTCAACTTGTGGTCGAATCTAATAATGAGAAAATTATCTCAGCCGCACTTTAACCTGTTACTATTTACTTCTCTGTATTATTTGTGAATTAAATTTTGATGTTTATTTCCTGGACTGTGATTTTGGAAAATCTTGGGAGTGAAAGGTTTCAATAGTGAAAGCAATTTCAAACGAAAATAAAATGTTCTATAAGATATGCTATACATTATTATAACAAAGTATACCCAACATCATTTCTGACTGCGCCTCATCAATGAATACAACGTAACCTGATAGTACTTGCGAAAATTGACTTATTCCTGCTTAAATATATTGTTTCCTAACCCCTTCCTAGTATAATTTATGGTTTCAGCTCTTCACAAGAATGTTTCTGATCTTCACAGCACGTTCGCCATTTTATCGAATTCTTACTTTAGTAGTAATCGATGTAATATCATGCAAATTTACCGTGTTGCTTTTTCACAAAACGTACTTTTAAGCTTTCTTCTATTTGAAGTTAATTATAAATAACTGATTCCCACTTTCAGTCTGGAAATTGTAATAAATAACTCTGAATAAATTAATTTAAATCAAAACTTTTTTTCAGCCTTATAAGATCGTCTCTCCCACATTTACGTAAAACACCAGGACCAATCTTTTCCAAATGCCGGTAAAATTGTTTATAATAATCCTCCATTATTCTGTAACAGTCATGCTTACAGTTCCTTTCTTAAAACAGTGAAAATGTCCGAGCAGTATGTCATTTACAGTTCCTCTCTCGGAACAGTGAAAAATCTCCGCAAAATAAAGACTTGAATAATTCCCAAAGAAACGATGACGACAGACTGTCCTATAGACCACCACTGAACCCGCTGTAAGAGATATTCTGCGGCCAAACGGCCATTAGATTCTCTTAGTCTATAATAATTCTGGTATTTCTCAACCAAATTAAAGTTCTCGTGGATATTAAAACACGATTTCTCAAAGTGCGTCAAAGCTGTCTGGGTCCCAGTTATCCCTTCGTAGCCCAAGGCATCCTCGTCGCCTTTCACAAAATCGAAGTAAACAAGGTTTTCACCGATGGAGAATTCAAATACATTACTGAAGCAAATGGTGTAGGTTCCATTCTTTGTGGTAGTGAATTTGTGTAGATCGTAGTCTTTCTTCTCTTCCCTGTAGATAATGCTGCCTTCCGGGTCTTCGATGTAGACATCAACCCGCGGATCAGCTCCAGTAATTGGCGCGTATTCCAAAGAACACTCTGTATTTTCAATCAGGTCATCGTAAAAACATTCAAAGCCGCTGAGCCAAAATTGCAAATGGCGGCCATTTGCTGGTATCGGAAGTGAACATAAAACGAAAATCACTGTCAAATGGCAGTTCATGTTCACTCAGTCTCAAAAGCAATGCTGTAATGTCACCAACAAGTTTTTTTTTGAAGTAATTTTGTTATCAAGACAACGATCGTAGACTTCTCGTTTATGCGAGATCACACATGTTGAAGAAAATCTACATTCAAATTTGTTTGTTAGAATTTGCATATGAAAGGCTCTTATTCCACGTGGCGCTTTGTGAACACGCGCCCCCATCGCGATCAAACCTTTTAAAACCTGTCATTGTTGAGGTTTATAGATTTTCACGTCCTACCGATGCGAAAAGAGAGTCAAGCACAACAGAAGATAATGCGGAAGATCCAGTGCTCAAAACCTTTTTTTCTGGTTATCAAACGATAATTGGGAGTTACTTTTCTAGGGGACTAGTTACCAATATTTACGGCTGATCTGCAGTCGCTATATTCACAACAATCGACATTTGGAACAACTTTGGAGCAACGAAAAAAGATAATTTCGAGGGGAGGGGGTACTGGGATGAACGTTAATCGGGATAAATCGGTTACGAGCGATAATTATTGAGTCCGGTTACTACCCTATCGGCATTTAAGAAAGGCCCTTGAGAAATAACTTACGCTTCTCATTTTCAAAGGGCTATTAGAATTAGCTTTCTATGAGCTTTTCACTCGATGTCCTTTTGTTTAAATTAACAGGGAGGGTGAGAAATAGCACTTTTCCACTTTTACAGCCTCACTAAAAGCATACTTTATTAAATCTTATGACCACTTTATTGAAAGAATTTTACTATCTTGATTAAACTGTTTTAACACAGCCTTCTGAGAAATGGGCTTTAAATTCTCCTTACATCTCGTTTATATGAACTGGTTAATGCGAATGGCTGTACGGATGATAAACCGTACAGAGTAACAGTAGAATATACATACATAAAAAAGCGCGCAAGAAATTGATACTATACCGTTAAATCATCTGCTTAAGCCGGGGTTTGAGCAAGCGATTTAGAAAGCGCTACGAATTTAGTTATGTAGCGAACCATCTCTCCCAAACTTAACCTGGATGATACCAAACTTTCAAACTGGTTAGTTATATTTTGTGCATTGACTGACTTCTTAAGTAGAAACGACTAAATTTAACTTTGATTGGTATAAAATATTTTGGTGACATTTCTAAGCAATGATTATATACATTTTCATTAGCCTTGGTTTCTACATTTTTACTTTCTATTTAACATTTTTTGCTCCATTAATGAATTTTATTATGTTATACACTCATTTTGCTTCCTGTGTATAATTCCTAAATAACATTAGATTACTTTAAGAGGGTCATCGCACGGACACTTTGGGCACCTCATTTTGTAACACATACGAGGGTTCCGATTATTTTTAAGATTGACGAACACTTAACGCATCTTTTCTGAGAATAATTATGCAAGATACACTATCTGAGAGTCTCAATAGAGACTTTAAGATTCTAAGACGAGGAGGAATACGGCGACGAGATTTTCTCAATACTTAGTAGTGCGTGCGCGTGAACCAGCGTCATTTTGGCGGGAAAACGTGATAGCCGTCGTCATTCTACTACGAGTTTTAGGTAGAATGTCGTGTTGGCGGAAACAAGTTCTCAAATGTTAGAAGTTTTATCATTTTGCGATCGGGAGAGGGCTTTACCTCCTTCAATAAAAATGACACTGCTAACTCTGGTTGAAGGGAAAGTACACCTTTAAGTCAAATATCGTCCTCGTAGACGTCCTCGTTCTGGAATCTAAAGGTCTCTAATGATGAACTGATGGACCTCATTTCAGCCTTTTTCCCATCTCGCCAGAAAGGTCCTTGGAGGCAACGAAAACTTTTAAAGCCTTAAGTCCCAATATCCTTATACAAATTCTCCAGACCGAAGAGAAGATTTGATAACTGAAAGATCGAAGTATTTTCCCTTGGGTGATATAACTGTATATTTTTAAAGGTAATCAAGGAAAAAAATAACCGTTTCCGTACCAAAGCCAAGCCCGTAAAAACCGAAAATGGAACTATTCTAATGAGACTTCTTATCTCCATAACTGACAGGCTTCATTTTAAGGGTTACTTCTTTCACTATCTACAGATTCACAATTTTACTTCCAATTTTTCCTATCCAAGTCTACTCGTATAGATAGGTTCAAACGCACTCGTTTCGGAACACAGCTCCAAAGCCGGTCTGTCTGGCGCATGCGTACTCGTACATGTGCTTGCAAGCGGATGTGGACTTGCCGAAACGTATGCAGGGTACGTCTGAACCGGGACATGAGCGTGATTTTGAGAATGCGCTCGTGCATGTATGTCCATAAGGTATCTTGCTGGCAGTGAGGCAGCTTGCGACGCTGATAGGATGGGAGGTTGAGGAATAAGGTAGGGAAAATGAGAACGCAGCTCGTCATAACTGAACATCATAGATCGTCCGGGCCCTTTCATTTTCATCATGCCATCTGGATCCAGGCCACTACAAAAGTACATTTGACATACACATGATTAACTTGCATGGATCCTAACGTTTACTATGCAGGCACATTTTACAAGGATTATATGGAGTCATCGGAGCATAATGATGCTTATATCTCCCAGCCAATTTGCCGAAACAGGCTCATATTTTGCAAGTAAACATTTTTATCTTGTTCCTTTTGGATATAACAACCAAACACATAATTTAAAAAATTTAGTTTTTGTGACGCCATCACTTCTCTGACCTACTGGAAATTGGTTAAAAGTAATTGTTATAATTACATGCTATTTGACTTCCAGGCTCAGGGGTATACAGACGTGAAAGAGAATAAGAAGAGCTCTTACAGGGACACCCCATAACTAAGAAGTAATATTGTAATAGCTAGCGCTGTAAAGTGCAAAAACGACGGCTGCAAAAGTTGCGCAGGTTACCCAACATTACGCGAAATCATCTCCTGTTAAAATCTATGGTCTGTTGCTTCCAACAATAAGTTATTTTTGACTGTGACACCTATCTTAGCGTTTTCTTAAATATACATACAATGATAAATGCAACTGTTAAAGAAACAACTTGTGGATATGGTTCGTCAAGCCAATAAGCCTCATCACGTACAAGGGGAGGCTAAAAATCTCATGCTATTCTTTAATAAACGTCATAGACCCCGATGATGTCGCCTACCTTTTTATGAGTTGTTTAGGCAAGGGACTGTTTCAGTCCACAGAAATTGGAGCAAGGAAATAAGGTAACAACATTTTTTGCCGTTTAAAACTCGCTCATTATGTGAAAATGTTGGAATAAACACAACGACCTTTTCTGTTCCCTTGCTGTTGGGTATAAAACCTACGAAAAAAGATTCTACTGCTCCTTGTATATACCCTTGGTTTCACCACTCTTTTTCTTTCATATGAAAATTACGCTCTCTACGTTGTATTTCCATCTCATGTTTATTAAACAATGCTATGATATTGATGTCAAATTTGTCTTACGAATTTCAAGAAACAAACTGCTTTTTTCTTTGCTGTGGCTTGTCCGTTTATACAGAACTATCCACCAGTCGTTTTCAAGAGGCAATGCAGGTTTAAATGACATTTTGAATATTTTTCAGCAACAAAGGGATCAATCAATACCGAAAGTGATTTACATTTAAAACCAACGATTAATTCTGTGTCCCACAAAATGTTTCTTTTTTACGCTAAAGCGAAAATGGATGCTCACTACAAAAACAGGGAAATATTAAAAAGGCGACCAACCATTCAACAAAACTAAAATCAAAGGAGATACTTCAAGTGCGTACGTATGATTTTGGACATATCTGTCACCTCATGATTGACATCGATCGGTGTCGCGTATCGTGCTATTGATATTTTATTTTGGAATATCCCTCGGCCCATTAGCTAATATTTTCGGTTGGTTTTTCACCTCGCAGGTGCTCAAATACAAGGAAGGTCTTAAAATGAAAAACAAACAACGCTAAAACCTTTTTTCCATTTGGGCAAGATAAGTGATTGAAGGATGAGTATCAAAGTTGTTGATTCAGAGATACGACTTCAGCCCGCACACAAATACCATTAAGTTTGTCGAGCAGAAGCATACATCAATATGAAACATGATCCCTAACCACAGGAAATAAGAAGTGGCTAATATCGACTAAAGTTTGGTAAAACTGTGAAGAGAAATAATTGTGACGTATTTTAAATGTGCTTTTTAACTTCGAGTTTGTTCACTTAAGTGAGAGTAGCTCTTAAACCGTGGTGTGATTAATGACGCAGTAAAATGAATTTCACTTTTTAAATTCAAGATGACATCTTCATTAAACATTTGACACAAAATGAGACCTACAATAAATTTAAAAAGAGCTCTTTACGTTAAACCACAGAGTCGGTTTCGATTCTCCACGTGCGTAGAACGAAGACAATTAGTTACATTTTCGTTGCTGTGAATATTTTATTCTCGGCAATGGGCTGTTAAGATGCTACTTGAAAAGAGTTTGTAGCAAAAGGCTTCTTCCTACTGGTAATCTTTAATAAATATATTAAAAAGTCGTTAACAGCTCATTTACCGCAATCTTAGTTCCGGCTCTCCAACTCATGGCGATTGGGTAAAAGAAAAAAAAAAACGAGAATAAAACTAAACAACACGCGGGGGAGTCTCCAGGACTTGAAATTTTTATAATTTCCCCTGCTAAGCTCTCTTAGTTTAAAAGCCTTTGATCACGATCGAGCAAACAACCATGAACATAAAAAGAGCGACTCGTGTCTCAGTCCTTGTGCAGGTGATAATCGTTTCCCATTAGCAGCTAATCAGCTGAAATAGTGTTAAAAAAAAAATAAAAAAAGAGAGACAATCTCTATGGTAAAAGAAAATTCCTCAAGGAGACATGTAATTGGACAGAAAAGCGAATAAATACTTAACATATTTTTCAAACAACCTTGAAAATTTCCTTTGCAGAGGCAATTAGGGAAACATCATCATCTGACTTCAAAGTTTGTAGAAGAAACCCTGTGATCATGCCTTTCGAATTTAAACGGCCTCTCCAACACTTGTTACACAGGAAACGATTTGTTTTCCGTTTTTCAGAGATAATAAAGTCGGAACTTACTTAGGGTCGATTTGGGTAACAACTGAATTAAGTTAAGGACCACTGATCAAATTCTCCTCTGACTATGATAAAAAATGGGAATACCAATACTTGGAACCCGAGTCTAAATGACATTGTATTAGTGGAGTTTTGACCAAGGAAGGCAACTATTTAAGTTTCTTCCCTTGCCGATAGTCAGTCAAAATTCAAGAAAATTTCTCAGAAATCGTGATAAACAAATTCTGCAAAAAAGCATTTGTTTGTATGGTTCTATACTTACGATTTTATTCATGGAGTACATAATAAGGATTATAATCTACGCAAAAGGCCAGCTACACGATTCGGCAACTCATATAACTACGTGAATACTGTAGAGTGTAAAATGAATTTCCTCGAACGAACGGGTAAACGTCCCGGAAGCATCAAAAAGGGCACATAACGACTAAAAATCCAAAAAATGTATCAAAACACTTTGTCTTTAATGGAGATATAATACAAGGAGAAACAAAGTATAAGACGTGTGTGTGTGAAGCAGACGTTAAATTGGCCAAGGCGAGTTACTACAGGGAAAGGAAAATTTAGGCGAATTTAAGAGAAATATCACTTGGTATTGAATGGAACGTTCATCTCCAAGTTAACTTTTAGTTAGACTCCTATCACTACAAAACCATATAGTGGTTAAAACAATGGGGAACGCTGCTCCATAACTTTTACACGAGGGTGGATTTGAATGAAAAATAGAAGATAAAGGTACGTTTCTCTCACTTACCCCTTCCTCATCTCAGCAGCTCGAACACGCTGTCTCTTGTTCTTGAACCAATTGCTTACTTGCGTCACAGTCAGATCGGTCATCTTAGCTAGATCATACTTCTCTCGTGGGGTAGGGTAAGGGTTCTCAGCGTACGCCTTGTTTAAAATATTCCTCGATTTCTCCTTGAAGCAGTAGGTAGTCTCTTCGCCGTCCCATATCGTACGCGGAAGAGGAAACTTTCTTCTAACGCGATACTTTCCCACTGCTCCCAAGGGTCTACCACGCTGTCGCTCGGCTTCGAGGTAATGCGCAGTCCTCCATAAGCACTGCAGTCGCTCGTGGTTTTCTTTAGAAAACTTGTGATTCTCCAGCATGGCGTAAAGATCCTTGAAGTTGTTCTGGTAGAAATAGACCACCGCCTTTGAAACAAGTATTGTCTCGGTAGTCTTGGCATCGCAGTCTATTTCCGTGGGTAAAGACCACAGAAATCGAGAAAGGCGTTCGATTTCTCCGTTATTCTGGAGAAATTGGCACACTGAAGCGATTTGGTCAGAGGAGAAGGGACAAGGAAGCACATTAGAGCGTTCAATTTCTCCTGTTTTCCGAAGATATGTGCACACAGGGATCATGTTGGAGTGATATAGATGCTTGTTGTGTCTTTTATGACTGTGATCAAAGAATGAATCGCTACCACCTTGCACACCCTCCTTAAATACACCCGTTTGGTAACTCGTGACTGAGCGCGCGGCAAGTTCCGCTTCACTAGTGGTTGGGGGCTTTGTTGACTAACATTCCGCTTTTAAAATGATATTGTCCGAGCCATAAGTCGAACAAAACACCTTTTAGTAGACATGTCAGAGTAGCATCAAGTGACCCAGTACCTCAATTAGTTTGTCATTAGCGTGAAATAGATTCAGACAAACTTGTTTGCTTAAGCATCTAGGATGGCCTATTTCATTTGGAGTATCTGTAGCCTGAACAAACAGTGTTTTAAGCGCTCAATTGTGGCTCGATATTGAAACCAACTTGCCGACCTTCTAGATTTTTTCATATGAGTGCAGAACGAGAGCCTGGTCTAATTTTCAAATCTCGAAATGAATGATCATTTCTTTATTTCCACTTTTCACAACTTGAAGGCAATCATGCCCAATAGACTGACTGTTCCATTGTTTCCAGTTTGAAACATCGATAGTCAATAAGCGGTTACTAAGAATAGGTATTTTATCAACAGATAACGACTTTTCAATAAATGTATACTTTTTAATTCATGGGCGAGAAGTGAATCAAAGAATTATCATGCGTCCATTATTACATTCACCTAATACGGTGTTTAATTCGACGCGGAATTCTTTAGTTTGAAAGCAGTTGTCACGTTCTAGGTGTAATTATGACCTACCTCGTTGAACATGAGGATATTATCTTTAGCGCCTATTGCAACTTTGCAAAGAGAATGAGAAAAAATGCTCAGCAATTACAAGCACATTCTTCACTTGAGCTTACTATCATACAAAAACAAGAGCTGGGCGGTATAACCGATTAAAATAAATTAACCAATTAAAAGTGACAATCAAGTACGACACTGAAAAAGCGATTTAAAGCGGTTAAAGCCTTAAAATGTTTAAGAAATACATCGCTCAGTGCGTCTGAAACTTGTCCGCAGCTTAAATGTTATTTTTGTCAAGAAAAGTTGGTTAGAATTTTTAAGCAGCTGTATTTACTCAAAAATCGTTGAATTAATGCTTCAAAACTGCCGTGCACAATGGCAGGTCCAAGAAAAACAAAGTGCCATTTGCCGTCTACTGAGATTTCTACATCTGCTGTTTCTGTCAACAAATCAAACAATGGCTAGTAGCTGTTGAATGGGTTCCCGCAGCAACCCCATTGATGTATCATATCAAATTATTACAATATTCGGGGTGCAAAACTCAATATATTTGTAGAACTCATGTTGATTAAGAAACGAGGGATGTTGCTTTCCCCCCGCTGTGGCTAAGCACAGGAGTTGCTAACAGTGGCAAGATTGCTCTCGATAAGTGAGAGAGTTATGGTCTTAGTGTACGGCCGTGCGCAAGATGAGTTTGTTATAGTCGTAAATACTCCACAGTGTAATAAACGTAACAGTCAAAAGTATCATTAAAAATATTTCATTTTGTGGCTCAGTCCCCAGGAGGTGACATCATATTTCCAAAATGGTGCGAACAACCTGCTTTGCTAATACGGAATACCGAGTAATTATTCGAAATGATAATTACCTGTAAAGGGGCCAGTTATAATTGCGAAAAGAAAGTTACAGAATCCTTGCTAATTGTTTTAAAGAGGGTGCTAAAAAGGGAATTTCTCATTTACTTATATAAAAATGAAGTAGACAAATTAGATTTAGAAACTTCATCACGGATAAAAACAAATGGTAGGTGTAACGTTTCAAGCAACATTTTCTACGCTAAAAACAATTACTTTTCCCTCTCGCTTGATAGCGGTTAACGTTAAATCCCTTGATTTCAAAGGTACACTGTATACAGCTCCCCGTTTTCAAAGTCAGCGCAAGTAAAATAGGTTTCTCTCAATGTCTTAGTCTTTAAAAAAATAAAACAAACGAAACTGGATTGTTTTTTTTTTTGGTTGTTGTTGTTTTACGATTGATAAGGTCCGTTTTACGCCGTTTTTGGTATTTTTGATGGCTAATAAACTTTCGTGAGGAAACTTGAGTCCTATCAGATTTTCGGAGTACCATCAACTCAGTAAAAGCTACTTGTGTTTTCGACGTGCCCTTGTAAATTTGTGGCCTTTTGTTCACAACTTTTGTCACCTTATGGTGGATTGAAACAAGACAGAAAATAGAACCTCAACAAGGGCAGAAAGAGGAAAAAGAACAAAATAAAGGAAATTCCTAATCGAGAATTCTTTTGTCTTTACTTTTTCCTGTTCTCTCGAGGCAACAGGAGACCAAGCCGACAAACCCCTTTTTGCCTTTCATTGCTGTTGTTTAATTGAACTTTTATCCAATTTATGTAATTTTATTCCCCTATAAGGTTACAAAGTCCATCGATGAGAGTGTGACCCATCATAGACTCAATCAGCCTTGAAAGGTAGTATCGCTGGAGGCAAAACCTAATAATTACTTGTTATGTTGTCTAGGGAATTGTTTAACAATTGAAAAATGTTTCCTTGTACTATTTTCATACGGAATAAAAAGTACTATGCACGATAGAATACTGCGGAAGTCTTATCACAATACCATATTTTCAAATGGTTCTTATTTGGCAATACAAATTTCTGCTATCAAGTATCTAACAGCGACCTAAAATCTGCTCTGACGCCTTTTTTCAAAGACTCTTAACCATTTCATTCTCGAGTAAGGTGCTCTGGAGGAGGATTTTGCTCTCCTGAGATCTTCACCCAATACCGTTTTTTTTATTTTAATCATTTCTTAAGTGTCACTTGCTTTAGATCTCTCTAAAACACGCTGGAAAAAAGGTCTACCTATCTTTTTCCTCTAATGAGTCTTCTCAGGTAACTGTGCTGTGCGTTACTACACCTAAAATGTTCCGCCACAGTTGGTGTAGGATTAAATGAACAGAAATCATCTGTGGAATTTCACACATTTTAGGGGTCCTGATGAACAGTTACGACGTTCAAAAATTTCCACGAGCAACAACAAAATTAGTCTGTAGTCTATCCCCTTTGAATTAGTAGAAATGAAGTCTCCTCCACAGAACGCGAGAGGAAAAAGCCTATTAAGGTTCCTTCGAGAATATTTAATTCAAATATGCGTTTCTTTCTACGATCCTGAAATCGTCTTATTTAAATCTAGGGATTCAAGGATTTCATGAGCCTAAATTTATAGAATTCTCAAAAGAATCAGTGAGGAACAGTTGTCCCAAACAAACGCACAAAGAATCTTCATTCGCTTCTAGAATCGACTAGTTAAGTTTGATGACAAAGCAACGTTCTTTTTATTATGGTATAAATTAAGGGCTACAAAGCAGTCATTAAAGATCTAAAAGCACATTTCCTTGCTCAAGCTTAAGCTGAAAAAAAAAAGGAGTACAGGTTTTTTCCAGTTTGAATGGCTTTTTGCAGAATTGATGACAAAAGACCATCTCGCCACAGCAGTGGTGTTAAATGTCGCAGAGTGAAAAAAGGTATGCCCAAAAACCTAAAACGTGCATTTAAGCGTTGCCTATGGAATAATCCGTTATAATACCACGCAAGACACATAAATAGCAACTACACCTAGGTGTAGAGGTAGCAAAATTGATCCTATTACTAAAAGCATCAAACCTTCTAATCATACTGTGAGTGATTATAAGAAGACTGATTTGAGGCTTTATTGTATATGACCCTCTCATGAAATGAATGTCATCACTATTCGTGTACCTATGAAATTTTGTATTGTAGAGTTCCTTTACTTTTGAATTAGGCAAAAATCTAAAATAAGTTAAGTAATGAATTAACTTTTAAGCAAAATAGATACCTTGAAAGCGGTGCATTAGACGCACGTAAACCACTGGAATTACGTATACGAAAATTGTGCCCATTTTTAACAGAACAAACGATACAACCCTCCATCTACGATCGCCTTTGTACATGTTAGTGGTTCAAGAAAATGAAACCAGTTACAAATTTTACATCTTTTTCATGAAAAGTTTTCCTTAACAGTCAAGTAGTAACCTGAATTCTCGCAACATTATTTTACGAATAAAATACTTTTCGAACCTTGATTAAAACACCGTTTACTTTGAAAAACCTATCCACGCTTTTAAGAATATAATTTAAATCGCCATAATTAGCATAACTGAAAGGAGAGAACTAAAAAAAACATTACGGGAAGATTTTAAGATGAATTATCCAAGGGTTCAAAAAATACAACTCATTTCAAGCGACATAAATTACGGTACTACAAGCTCATTAGTTTTCACATATATTTTTACATTGGTGTTTCGATGGAATAATAGATGGCGCAGATTCCTTTAAATAGAATGATAGAAGGCATTATTGCGATCCTTCTAGAAAAACAGAACTGGCTCCCAAAATTCAAAGTTTGACAAATCAAGAATGAAATTATATTGTTCGACTGTGGAAGGGAAATAACCGTAAGTCTGTAAATTAAAAGCCGGTTTGACTTGGGGAGGAAAATAAACGTAAGTCTGTAAATTAAGCGCCGCTCTGAAGACCCAGTATTCTACTGTAGATGACGAGTGGTATAAACTAAAGGGCAGAACAACGACCGATGTTTTACAAAGACGACATGGCTTCTAAGATACTTTTTCTAATCCACTTCGTTTAATTTTATTGGCCATTTCTATTGTTGATCTCCTTCACTCTGAAATAAATTACTTGAAGGGAGTAGTTTAATCGAGGTTAAATGCATGTGCCACAGGTAAGTATCGCTCAGAAGCTTTCATTGTAGTGATACCAGTATACGAGTATAAAAATAGTTATTGTAAAATAGTCATTGTTTCAAAGTATAGTAAACATCATTTTTAGTTTCACACCTTAAAGGAGGTTAAATTTCGTTAAAGGTTTTCATTAGTGAGACAGTATCTTGCATGTAAGTTCTGAAAGAACCACTGAACAACCGTGAATAAACATAGACCAAGGAATTTAAACTTCAACTGCTGAGGCTACTGCGGCAGATTTGCAATTTTTAAAGATCGTATCTGCTGATCTAAGTGTCTATGTATGCTTGTGTTCTTCTTAGGGGTTTTGAGTCGTAATTGTTGATTTGTAGACTAAATGGAAAAAAAATTGTCGTGGTTAACATATCTCACACCACTGAGTTTGGCCATAAAATTATTATTGTTATTATTATTATTTTCAAAATAAAAAGAAAGGTCAAAAACATACAACGAAGAAGGACAGAAAATTAAATGCATTAAAATAATTCCGCTTAAACAGAAAGCACCATCAGAACAATTTGTCAAAGTCAAAAGCTATTCAAACAACTAAATATTTAATAACAAGTCCCATCCAAGTGAACATAAAGAAAAAGAAAAAAAAAGGAAAAATGCTTAACTATGCTAGACACGTACGAAAGATACGAAAGAAATTATGCCAGGTCTTTGCTGTACAAAGTAAAGGGGCCGTCTTCAATGTTTTCTCCTAACTTAAAGTACTTTTGAGTTTTAATTAATCGCTGTTCAAACAACTTTCCTTTCATTTGTCTTAATTGGACTTACTGTTGACAAAACGGACCAGCACAATTTCGGGCATTAATTATCATGGTCCGTTTGAACGTTCGGTTGTACTATTTTCCTTTTTATATGTAACTTAGGAATTAAGGATTCTGCAGCCCTCTAATAACAATTTTTCAATTGCAATTTATTGTAATTTGGAGAAAACAATTACAAATATTTCCCCCGCCATTGTGTAATCTTATGGTCACCAAGGTACAATAAACCTTCGTCGTTTCTCAAACTCAATTTCATTTTTTTGTAGCTGGGACGTAAGTTTGAAGTAAATGTGGTTGAGACGATTCTCTTTCAAATTGCGATTTTAGAAAACGGGGAAAAAGAATGAATAACAATTGCACGAAATCTCTGTTTAAAACCATCTTGCAGTCTTGTTCGGTTGAGAAACCATAATAAAAAGCACTTCATTTGAGTGTCAATGTATTTAGCACGAAAGCACTCATTGGGGAAACTATTTACGTCTCCTACTGAAGACGGGACCGCCATTTTACATGGTCATCCGAGCCACGCGAAGGTCTAGCTATTTGCAGGGCAAAGGCAGTCATTTCATTTCATTTCTCAGTCATTTTGAGACCCTGAGTATTGGTCCAGTCCCGAGAATCGAACCCGCGACCTCCCGCTCTGCAGTCAATCGCTCTACCGAGTGAGCTAATCCTGCCGCGGTTAAAGCGGTTTTTAAAGAGGTTTTCAACTTCTTTTAGGTCGAAATCTCTCTTGTGGGAAATTTCAATGAACCATGTCTCGCAGTCATTCTACAAGACGTGACATTTCACTCTAGGGCTTCCCTCTGTAATGTTATGGCGACCGATACAATCGCACAAAACTCATCAATTTTTCATCAATTTGTTAATAAGAACACAATTAACTACATCAACCTCTTTGCGTAACTGTAATAAGAAAGTTCAACGCATTTTCTTTGACGAAATGTACCAGCATATTGACGCAAAAAAGCTCTCATTTAGGTTAAAAGAGGAAGGCGTTCTTGTAGACCAAAAAGAGGGGAAACACTATAAAAAGACAAAGTTCAAACAAACTTACGAAAGTTCTTTATCGACGATAATTATAAAGAACCAATCATTGTCCCTAAAATAGTGATGGTGGGTATTTACACAGCAGGGAACCGAAATTTGCTGACAGGAGGTATTTACAAGTTAAAAAGAAGGAAAGAAACGATTTCAGTTTTCAGTTTTTAAAGAGTTCAACCAAAGCTGAAAAGTTTTAAATTTTCTCACGTAGAAAAAAATTAACATATACTCATAAGTAACGTTGATGTGTAATTCATAAATTCTCTGAACATGGTAGAAATTTAATTATAATACGAAACAAAAGGAAATCATTCACTTAAAGCAAGTAAAGGTTTTAATGCAAAATATGGGGTCCTAGCTTACGAATTATTTTTCAGTGTCACCGACGAGTTGTTGTAGCAATGTGTGAAAAATCGTCGGGAATTAACCTTTGAACTGACAGACTTTATAATTAATTTATAAGGAGAGCAATCCCTTTTGAACCCAACAACTATTTCATTCACATTTTCCCTTCTGGTGTTAAAATAGGACTCTTCCTCACTCTGAGTAAATAATTGACCCTGAAGAACGTCAATTAGTTCAAAAGAAAGCTGGCGAGCAGTACATTTAGATTGCTCCGTTATGAAAGTAAATTGCATTGCTTCTTTTTGGCGAGTCTTTGTTCAGAATCCTTAATCAACAGCATTCAAAATAAACCCTCTGATCTGCATAAGCTAGTTACTAATTTGGAGGAGGTGAAAGTCTCCAAGCGTGATCATCCAATCCAAGTCAACTATGTTGAGCATATATTCCCATATAATACCGTTCATTATTGTACAAAGTTATACAAAATGTAGGGTAGTTGAATGAGCTCCTTAAGTCAATTCAAATACAATGAAAACTACAAGACATTATGTACTGTTATTTCTCACAACTATATGAGACAGAAAAAGTCGTATGTAGAGGAAATGCTACTGTGTGGCAATTAAGACGATTCTGAAGAGTGGCATCTTTAAATGGTACCATACAAGATCGTTCACCAAAAAAGTATCCTTCAAAAAGAAGCTGCGCGGACTAGGTAATAGAGTAAACTACTTATGAGACATAAGATGCCAGAACGGTGGGGGAATGAAAATGCTACAGAATGACCGTACTGAGAACATCCTTCGGTGAGCAGTTAATCTGTACACCTAATTTGCATGGTATTTGCTAAGTGAAAACTTTTTTGAAAAAAAAAAAAAACATTTCAAACCAAAACTTTGAAAAAGACTAAAGGATATATTTTGCTAACATTTGACAATATACTGTCCGGTAACATCATTCTACATTGCCTTTACCGAGGAGAGTGGATATAATTTTCTGTTATGACGAACACATTTCTAGTTAATTTGCATATCCATACAATACAACTGACTATACCCCTTCCCACAGCTTAGCAAGCCAATACGATGACCTCGCTTATCGTTATTTCCACAAGTGCAGCTTTTCAACGATAAAAAAAAACATAAAGGCTATAGTTTCAAGAGCTTTATGTACCCAGTTTTTATTGTATTTCAAAACATGGACTTTTCTCTCCTTTCTTGAAAGCTCTCAATAATCAACCAAGGCAAGGTATTACAAAGCACTGTTCAAAATTGATTACGTTACTGGGCGAGTAATTTCTGCGGAAATGATAAGTAATTTTCTGTTCCAAAATTGCTATTCATCACTGCAGCTGACAAAATACAGCTTCCCTTGCTCATTTAACAGTTCTTGTAGTTTAAGGACCACACCTAAGCAACGAACAGCATGGAGAAACTTCTTAGAATTAATCGCGAATTACCATGGTACACATGGAAGCAGCTGAGGAGCCCCAGAAAATGTGGAAAAAACAAGAGTGCAAGAAAAGACATCTATTATGGGAAACAGCACGTGTAATATAATTTAAAGGGGAAAATGGTCGAACTTCCTCGTATTAGACATTAAACTGTCAGACCTAGATGACTCCCTTGGTCAAAAGGGTAAATATTACAAAGGGGTTATTGTACAAAATCCGTTGTACTAAACCTACGCCATTCTGCGAATAAAAACTAGGGTAAACTATGTGACTGTTTTGCATGCAGAAACCTTCCTGTTTATTAATTTTTGTCGCTAACTTCTTTTTTATAACTCATTGATATAACACTTGTCGCATCACAAAATTGCCTGGCTCAGCTCTAAAAACAAGCAGCCACTTGAACAAAGTCGCCTCAAGCACCTCGTCTATACTCGAGAAATAACACCAAACAAAATCGATCAGTCTAACTCATCGATATGTGTGAAGTTATAGTAAATATATTCTGGATGAATAAAAAGAGACTACTTCAAAGAAACTGAGCGATGAGTAAAGATCCATTTTTTAGATTTAATCCCTTACTCTACAGTTAGCTCTAAATTGTATTAAACTGTATTCCCAGGAAACCCCATAAGAAAAAGGTGTTACAAAACTCCAGTGGTTTGACAAGACGCATATAAACCCCTTGAAAACATTTCCTACAGAAAGATTGGCGACGATAAGGTAACAGAAAGAGTGTAAGGTCGGGTGCAGAAGATTAGGAATGTTCGAACTTTTGTGCTGAAAAGACGTGCTTCCCATGTTATTTTCTCAAAGTTACGTGAGCAGATTCTACATCATAAGTTGTTTGATCAAACATAATAAACCCGAACCCTTAGACCCAAGCCTGTTTGTTTAATAACTTGCTAAAACCTTCTCTGCAGAATCTATATGCGACCCAACTGAGCATCAGTATGTTAGTTTGACAATGCTACTTTAGCAGATTCTACCTCATAAGTTGTTTAATCTAACATATGAAATCCGAAAACTTAGACACGAGCCTGTTCGTTTAGTAACTTGCTAAAACTTTCTCTACAGATTATATACGACGCAATGGGTTGGTTTCTGAACTGCTGCGCTTAAATGTAACCAAAACACTGTGTAACCATTGCTGACTACAAAACAGTACTTTGATGTGACAAAAAAACTGTGCCTTTTAAAACTTTTACCTTTTCACTCACATTTAACTGCATTTAGCTGTCAGTTACTATATTTCGCACATAACGATACTTTTCACTAACTTCAGTGTTTTATAGTTAAGTCTAAGAAAAACACAAACTGTATTTATTCTTTCCAAAGATGTCTCCCTGATTTGAATAATTATACCATAGGATTTGGTCAACAGATAAAAAAATTTAACACTTAGAGATAGGCTTCCACAATTGATTCTAGAATTAAAAAGCAAAAATAAGGGGAGGACTTTGTTTTACACAATACGGGAAAGGTTGTACATTGGCATGTACATATTGGTGAAAATGTGATAGAGTTGTAGGTTTAAGTTGAAGCCCAAGCCGCCTGCTTAATCACAGAAAAGAATTCCTCACATGTGTGAGGCGTTGCCTCATATTGAAGAATTGTGACATAACCTTTTAGATACAAATAAAGGGGCTTGTTCTTTGCGAGAAGGACTAAAGCAAGGAGGCAAGCCACATTTCTCTGTGGTGTTATGGTTCCGAGCTAACTGTAGTGATAGATCCATGTCCACTGAACGAAACCAACATCACTTTAGATGAGAACGTTGCTTTTGGGCAGTAATTCAAAACGGTAGGTATGTACCAACCCTTAATATTTTATAGTACAAAAGCTAACTCGAAAGCAACCCCAAAAAATGATTATTGAAAAATATCCTGTAAAAGGGGTGTTGCCGATACTGATTCATACAGGAATTACAATAGCGTGTCCAAATTTCCATCAATATGCACATGAGAAGAAATTGTACTGAAATAAAGGGGAGCAGAAGTCAGTTTGTACAACTCAGGCTGGCTGGACAAAAGCAACAAATTATCTAGAAACACAGGAAATAATAACACTCACAAGGGTTCCAAAACTATGACGAGTTAAATCCTATAACACACAGTAACAGACTTATCCGGGAAAGACTCTCGGTCATCGCTGAAGGCAGGCCACAATTTGCATCTGTGACAGAGTTTATTTTGAGTCATACGACACCTCCCTTTTATTCTTTTTTAATTTGCTTCGCAAAGGATGTGGCGAAACCTTGGCGGAAATGAAATTTATGGTGTTCCATGAAGTGTGAAAAAAAATTGTCCTGAGAAAACATTTGAAAAACATTTTAATATAGATTAAACAGCAAAGTGCTTCAGTTAAAGGACGACTCGCAAGACGTCTTTGACCATTCATTTAACCTAATTATTCTCTTTTGTTAAGAGACAACCTTTATATTGCCTGTTAATGAGATTTAACTACTTAAATGCATTTAAATTGCGCTTTATTGCTCACATTTATCTAAAACAACTAAAACAATGCTGCAGTTTTGATCCCAGCATGTAATAGGTTAAAGGGTATCGTAAAACAGGGAACCAAAAAGGCAATACTTGTACCATTTATCCCTAAAGTTGATTACTTCTTTTACATAATGAAACTGAAAAGCACTCCTAGGAATTGACAGTACAGATTTCTTATATTAAAGGGAATTTTATTTCTTTTATTTCGCGTCAAAGCAATCTAAACATACTGTCGTTTATTACTTATAGACAAAGAAAAAAAGCACAGAAAAGGTTATTATCATTATTAAACAGGAAAACATTTTTCATATATGCAGAAAATTGCAGGCAGATGGAAGTGCTTGTGTTTTCGCAGGTGTCCGAATGAAAGATTCGCGTTGATAACTATGTTAATTGCTCAGGGTGCGGGGCAGAATCTTGGTCACGCTTACAAACCTTGTCTTTTCCCAAAGGAAATATTACAAGACTACTTTTCCTATTTGAAAAAAACGTTGGTTGTACATTATAATCGCGAAAATCAAAAGAGAACTTGATATTCTGCAGCGTGAGTTCGAGTCCTAGAACGCACCTAAATTGCACTATAGGTCGCAAAAAGGTTTCATGTCACAAAACTACGAGCGGGTCACTTTTTCTTATACTTTGACCGCAATAAATTTTCCAATCGCATCACAGTTAAAGATCGCGTAAATAAGGTGTATACAGATCTCCATTTATAGGATATTCTTATGTGCTCTTCAGTATGGCGATGAGCATTTTGCTGAAAGAAGTTCGTGAGTATGTTAAAAAATTATTTAGAACTTCTTAAATATGTTGAAGAGAAAATTAAAATCTTTGACCCTTAAATTAAATCGAAGATGATATTTTTAAATGAATTGGCTTTGGTAACAATCTGGCTTTAGTTTAGCTTATAGTTTCAAAAGCTCTTTAAAAGAATGGTGATTCATTTTCCTTACCCAAATTCAAGAGGCGTGATAGCAATTCAAATTTAGTGAGCGCAAGTTTATCGCAAGGGAAAACTACAAATCCAACATTGTCGCCTTTATGTTTCCGAGGACACTTCATAGACACTCTGAAACGAAATTTAATTGGTGATTCGTTTGTTTTAATTGTTCTCTGGGCCTTTAGATTATTGTTCGCTTTATAATGCAATTACTTTCAGAATAATTTCCTTCCTCCTTCGAATGAGCAGTTTAGCAATACATCAACACGTATTTTTTCAATTTGCTAACACAAAATTGTCTTTTTCTTCTAGCAGTTTGTAATTTCAGTCTTTCTTTTATGCAAAAAATGGACAAAAAACCAAGTGCAAAGATACATGTGTTTTTAATGCTGCAAAATTTTCTTAGAGAATCTTCTTCTTTAACCCTGCTCATTTGCTCAATTGCAACATTTCGCTTCAAAAAAGTTGTTTCTTGTACTTTATTTTCCACGTCTTCAGGGCAACTCCAGTTCCCTAACTACTACGTCACACATAGCCTGAAGCTATTAGAGACCTTTAGATTTGAGGACGAGAACGACTACGAGTACGAGATTTGATTTAAATAATTTTCGCGCATTGTCAAAAAATAGACACCCAGGAATTCTTCATTGCACTTTTTTTTTTTTTCACCAGAAAAGTCAGCACCGTTATCGTGATTGAAGGAGGTTAAGACCTCTCCCGATTGCAAAATGCTAAAAATACTAACATTTGATAACTTTTTCCCGCCACTACGACACTCTCGCTAAAACTCATAGTAGAATGACGACGGCTACCACCTTTTCCCACCAAAATGACGTTGCCTCACGCGCGAGCACTACTTACTATTGAGAATATCTCGTACTGGTAGTCGTTTTCGTCTTAGAGTCTAAAGGTCTCTAATTAAAGTCAAATGTCAACAAATAATAGGTAAATTCACAGACACCCCCAGCGGGTAAAGCTTCAACATAAGAGCACTACTATTGAAGAAATATAAATTGAAGTATTTTTCTTTCTCATTGGATTAGGCGTTCACCAGACAAGAAAGAGCTTAGTTTCTTGGATATGAAAACCAGGGAGGCTGAATATGCCAAACCGCAAACAAACCAGGAACTGCAGAGGTGAAGACCACCTTCCTAAGCCTTTCCGATTGTATAGTAGTGTCTTATTATCCCCACGGTAGCGAAATTTTTGTCTTCAAAAGCAAGTCTCACATTGAGGCTTACTCTCAAAATTGTAAAATTTCTGTAACGTGACAAAGAACAATTACAAAAAGCATCATACCACTTTACCCATAGGAACAATACTACAATGGTTACACTCAACGAAAAAGGACTGAACACGTAATGACGGCGTTCAATTGACCATATTCTATAAAATCGGAAACACGCAACATAAAGGTGGTTTATCATTTACAGAACCTTTCCAAACATTCTGGTCAGAGAAAAAATGGGACCAGACCTTTTCGGCCGATCCAGTGGAAAATATCTAACACGAAGCAAGTGAACATCTTCCTGTTTTTCTGTTGGGAAGGTTCCCAACCTGTAGACTGCGTAGTTAGCAGTTCTTAGCTGACTGGCCAGAGGAAAAAAAAGGTGGCAAAACGCCGGCGAATCGCCCCTTTTTCCTCGCGGCTTCGCCACGACAAACAAAACCACTGTTTCTTGAAAACATCTTTGATACCAGTTTTAGGCTTTTGCAGCCGTTTTCCAGCAAATGGAGCTAACTTATGCAGGTGGTAAACGCGATTCCCGAACGGAATTTGCCAGTTTAGCATCCTGTTTATACCATTTACAGGAACTGAGAACTGACTGGTTTCCCCTTAAAATGATAAACAACCCAAAAGAAGATAACTTAAGTTTAGCAGCTATTTCAAATTACCAAGCTGTACTCGAAAAATCCAAGATATTTAAGGTTAATAGCAACATTTAAATTCTCCTCATGATAATCGATGCTACGATGAGATGATGAGTATGATCATGGCAAATAAAGAATCCGAGTTCCTGACCAGATCTTTACCCCATCCCCTCCAAACCTCCCGATGATCATAATGATTGCAAAGATCACCCATCACAAGAATCTTCATTTTTGAAGGAGGTGGGGTTTCTCGAAAGAAGAAGAAGAAGAAGAAGAAGAAGAAGAAGAAGAAGAAGAAGAAGAAGAAGAAGAAGAAGAAGAAGAAGAAGAAGAAGAAGAAGAAGAAGAAGAAGAAGAAGAAGAAGAAGAAGAAGAAGAAGAAGAAGAAGAAGAAGAAGAAGAAGAAGAAGAAGAAGAAGAAGAAGAAGAAGAAGAAGAAGAAGAAAAAGAAAAAGACGACGACGATGATGTTCTTCAGTAACAAAGAATTCACCATTTACACATCTTCCATAATACACCTTGTTTTTCATTTCTTCTGGGTCAGTTACAGTCGTCCCAAGATTAATCAAAAACAATGCTTACGCTAAATTTTGGGGGCAAACAAGGTGTATTACGTGAGATGTGCAAATAGGGAATCAAAGAAACAACAGGAAACGGATCCTTATGGAGAAAAGAGAGAGAAAACACCAATATAAAATCCCATTTTTTTTGTTATAATTATACCTTATGTTTTAATCTGAAACACGAACCCTCGTTGGGGGCTAAAACAAAACAGAGTATATACTTTAGGATTGTTACGCTCTTAGACCTATGTACTCCGTTTTGGTTTAGCCCCTAACGAAGGTTTGTGTTTCAAACCACAATATTAGCATAAATGTTATTACGGAGAATTATTCTTTTCATTTTTCTTCTCTCTTCGCCGTGAGGATCAGTTTGCTGTTCTTGTTTCTCTAATGTTGTCTTATGTAACTGATCCAGTTCCTTTTTATAGAAATGGCCATGAACTCATTGTTCTCTAGTAGTTGCTTTGTCTTTTACTTTTAAGATTATTCTATATCACAGCCCTATGAAAACACGGGAGGTTTGTCAATTGACGTTTCTGGGTAACTTCCCGCCTACCCCTCCCCTAAGGCAACATTAACACTTACTTCTCACTTAGGGCAAAACTGTGACTTAAGGGAAGGGGTAGGTGGTTAGTTACCTTCCAGTTTTTTAATACTTACAGTGCGACTACGGTAACCGGGGCCACCTAGACAAAGTTGACCAATCGGATTACGGGAAAATAACGATACATTCCAAGAAGGTTGGTTGTGGGCCAATGAATTACTCGAAGCAGAAAATTAAAATCTTGATTGCAAACGTTTTTCAAGAAAGCAAAATGTTTCACCAGTGAATGTTCTTCTATTTGAAACTTTACATATAACACCCAGGAGACATATCTGTTTGACACAAGCTGTTAGTTAGTCATCTACCAGCAATTTCTTCGCTACCATTGCCGCACTTTGCAATAAACATGGGAGCTCAAATCAAAAATATGACTAATGTTAACATTTTATGCCTCCGTCAACACTCTAACGGTCCTCTCAGGAAACATCGGTTATCTTCAGCGGGTTTAAAAGGTCACGTCTGTAGGTTGTAACTGGTTGATTTCGTTCCGTTGTAATGATGTTTGACAACCAACTTTCTCGGAACGTATTGTTATTTTCCTGTCATCAACTTTGTCTAGGTGACCTATAAAGGCCCCGGTTAAGTAGTCGCACTATAAAATAGATAAAAAATATTTTTATAGGGGGAAAAAAACTATTAAATTATTAAAACTATTCTGGAAAGGAGATGAAGTTTATGGTTTCCTGAGGTCCGCTAGGAGATTCCCAAAGAAGTGGGGACTGCAACGGCAAAGGACAGGCGACAAAGATTCAGTTTGGTATCATTGAAATTTATCGCAAAGACCCTAATAGGTTGGTTCGTTCTCTTCCGACTTTGTAACTGGAGGCCACGAAGAGAATACTTTCTTATCTTTGCCTCACCAGAAAAGAAAAACAAGCATGTTGTTCTCTTCACTATTTTGCGAACACTCAATAATTTTAAATGCGTTCGTTTAATTAACACAGGTAAGTGCAATTGTTTATCGCTATATTATTTTATTTGTAACAAGAGATTAAGCTCCTTTAAAAATGAAAAGCGCTGGACAGGAGGAGTTCTTGAGTAAGCATTATTCATTAAGTAATTTGATTATATTCATTAGACATATGGTTATTAAATTTCTTTTATAAACTGTCTTTTTGGCTTTTGATGAACGTTTTCTTGACAGGATGTTTAAACATGGAAAACTGAGATTAATTGCGAAAATCACCTGTACTAAACCGAAGGAAATCACTGTTATTAACATTTTGGTCTGCGCAGTAGATTTTGATCAGAACAGTTCAAGTTCAGTTGGGAAAACTTTTCCGAGTGTTTTAAAATAACTTCAAATCAAGTCAGTGATATCATCTTGTAAATAAGAAGAAGTACTAAACCAAAGTGGTTGTTTAAATAAAATGTTTCTTCACCTGGCAAATGCACTTTAACTTGCCAGAAAGTAAAGTGGATTTCAAAAATATTTGTTGGTTGATTAATGGAAAAGCACTCCAAAGTAACGCTTCAATAAAATGCCTTTTGCAAAATAGAAAAGTGATCAACTTTTAAAGTGCAATAATGGGTTATTGAGGAGTTCAAATTAGCAGTAAATTGCTTCCATTGTTTGACAGCTTTTTCCTTTGAAAAGTGCACAAGAAAACAAAACACAAGGTTGCTTTCATCGAAGTACCAAACTTGGTTGTTTATGACGAAAATTTACGGGTACCAACTAGCCGGGATAAATTTTGCGCCTAATTCATAAGTTTGGCTTCAGCAACTGAGAAAACGGCGTCCATATAGTGCGAATAGAATGCTTAGACTACTTTTGTCCAACTGAGGTAAGAATTTCTTTTGTATCCGTTTGGTATAATTTTTAACTGCTTTTCCTTGGGGCAATTTCCTTAAGTACAAAGGAGAGCATAACGTTAAACCATTGATTGTCGACTTGGAAAATCGAATTATGAAAGAGTCAAGGCAGTCGAGGAATGGGTGACACAGATGAACTAGCCGTGCTTTTTTAAAAACCTGTGACCTAAACAAAAGAACATTGAAAGTATATACGTATATATGCCGCTTATCTATTCCTACGCAACTGAAAATTTATCATGAGTCCTGCTAGTATTCGGCGATTATTCAGGGTGGAGAAGAAACTCCCCTTTTTACGTGCTTTGCAAAGGCATAGGGGCAAGATACACGGCGGTCCAGAACGAGAAAGAAAAGCCCTTTCTTAAAATTCGGGCCGGAATAAACTGCAGATTCAATTTCGTACTTTTCGTCGGGCCAAGTGGGCGATTAAATTAAGAAAACACGGAATTACTCTCTGCTGGCACCACTGACAGTACAAACTACTCACAACAAGCCTTTTTCATTAACTTTAAAACTATGAGACATTCAGGAAGAAATCTGACAGAAACGTTTCGGTCATTTATAGCAATGTAAAATCGTCCCTATTTCCGATAAGCTAGATTTTTTCCTTTAACAGCATTTTTCTGAAATTCGACTCTTTCACCAGCTTTGAGGTGTTTTACAAGCAGTATAAATGAATTTGTGAAACTGGCTTTTACTCTTCGCTTCCATGCCAGCGGAGACTTCTTTTCTGGTTTTTATTCGCGAGTTCTTTCGGGAAAAGAGTCTCTACGAACATGGAATTCTTTGGCTCCATTTTTGCCACTGAACACTCAACAATATGCTTGTTTAATTGTTATGTTAATTAATTCCTTTTAGTGGCTGCTGCCTGTACGATTTTATTTTCAAATAAATGAAAGAACTCATTCTCTTACTCTATCCGTGAATTCTCGGCTCGATTCAAATATCTTTGAAGATGAGCATGCATAGTTTGCAAAATGGTTTGCTAAATGAAGCAAGCTAAGTCCACCAACGTTACCCAGCCGCAAACTGGTACTTCCTATTTTAACAACGAATATAGTGCACAAAAGACTATTTTATTCCGCCTTGGTGGCATTCAGCGAAGCGACCTTGCATTTTCATACATACTGGCTATACTTTTTAAACAGTAGGGGGAAAACTTCTCGAGATTATAAAAAGCATTGTCCCTGGAAATAAAAGAAAAACGATCAAACCCTGTTGAGCATTTTTTAGTCCACCCTATTTACTGGAGATGTGGAAGAAGAGCAAAGCTGTTTTTTTAAGGGGAAGGGGGTGTTGATTTGAATGAACTCGAATTAATGACCCCTGATATGATGAGGAAAACGCGACATTTTCTGCTTATTAAGCCTTAATCAAGTAAACGCTGTGATTTTCATTAAATGAAGGGGGAAAACGCTCAGATTACGAATTAAAGATACATTGATTTGACCCGAAGAATGTGAGACAGGAGTACAAACTTGATGGATTCATGATACGGTTTTGGATTCACATTAAATAATTTTTTTCATTCACAAATCGTATTAAGATTTTTTCAAACAACACAGCCTAACTGCTAAGATTCTTTAAAAAAAACTTGTACCTAGAAGTTGGACTTGAACCGATAATAGGTAACTTTTTAGAGGGTAGATATTCGAGTTCCAAGGCAACACGTCACTGAACTATTTTATCAGCCAGCTGACCATTTCGTAGAAAAACAAAGCCCACAACACCTGAGTCAGTAATTAAGTCTACAAATCTTGTTATTGCATGATGCCATGGGGCATGGCCTCGACTTTCAATAATCAGTTTGGCTTCAAGCAAAGTACAATCAAAGGCCGAATCTAAATCTAAATCTAATTAGACTAATTCCGCCGTTCATTCAGTGATGCACTTTACTGAGGTTTTTCGCTGGGTCCAGGGCAGTGCACTGTGGATCGAGAGAAAAACCAATACACAATGGAAAATCCTAAAAATAAACTCGCTCAGTCTCTAGCCTAAATAAAAGGCGTCCCGTTGACGAATTTTTTGGCAAAACAAACAATATTTTCGCGTAGTGCGAACAGAGTCCGGCCCATAAATATACCAGGTGCTACGACAAAATTAGTCTCTGGAACAGAAATACTTCCTCGTATTGTCAAACTTTATAGATCTTTCCAGGCTATCCTTAATTCATCACACAAAAGTCTACATTGTTCTTTAACTAAAAACCGGCCTCACTTTTACCTTTAAAAAAAAAAATTCGGTCCTATCATCCCCTAAGCCCGCAAGTTCCAAACTAATGAGAAGTCGCTCATACTACAGCTCGCCAGCAATAATGGTTTCCTCGTAATTTGTTTTGCTTTTTTCGAAAATGAACATGATTTTGTCTGATTTCTAGGCTTTTCTTGAGGAAAAAGGGTATAGGCCAACGACGAAAACTTCTTTGAATACACTCATAAATTCTACAAAATGCGGTTGCTTTGATTTCATTACTCTCTTCAACTTTTGTCGCTATCGACT